GTGACTCGAGGATTCAAACCTGCTTCCCGCTTGGCAGGACAAAGCACTGTCGGATCCGGCGTGTTGTGACTGTTTGGCTACGGAAAGTTTTCACAGCCAAGCAAGTTTCTATTCGCCTTTGGAGAAAATCTGAACGAGTGAATGGGGTTTAAGGCAAGTAGAACCTTGTTTGCTTGTGAAGCTCTCCGTAGCCGAGCAGTCAAAACACGCTGGATTAGACGCTGGTCGCTACTGCAAAAGTGGATTGTTATGTAATATCGATCATCCTATATAGCAATGAATTCTGAACAATCTCCTTACAGATTAAGATGAGACTTGAAGCAAGACAAATGTGGTTCTACAGAAGAATGCTGAGAATACCATGAACCGAAGATGTGAGCAACGATGAAGTTCGGGAGACAATGAAAACAAAAAGGATACTTATACTTAACACAAGGAAGAGACAGTTGAAATCTTTGGCTTGAAAAATTTGACACTAACAGGACAGATTGAAGGGAAGAGGAACAGAGGAAAATAAAGCATAATCTAACTGGTGAGCTAGATGGCGGATCAAGGTTTGGGAGATATTGAAAATAGATCAAATTTATTCGGAGGCTCAAGTTTTCTCGAGTGCGTAAACAAAACAAAAAACACGGGCGTTTACTCAAAAAAGGGTATTCACTAAAAATAAAATTTGAAACAATAAAAACAAGAATGTGTATATTAAGACATTGTATCAAACCGGAAATAGGGCAAGAACACTGCAGCTTCGTTAAAGACATTGGAACAAGGGATGCAATATATATGTTCGAAATGATATTAGAAAAAGCAATACAAATTCAAAAGTATGTGTACCTGTTTTATAGAAAGCGTTTGATAAAGTACATCACAAAGAACTATTCGAACTGTTAGGTAAGCTTGATATATTTAGGAAGGATATTAGAATAATCCAAAAGATATAATTTATAGATTATGAAAAATAGTTTGATAAAGTACATCACAAAGAACTATTCGAACTGTTAGGTATGCTTGATATATTTAGGAAGGATATTAGAATAATCCAGAAGATATAATTTATAGATTATGAAAAATAGTTTGATAAAGTGCATCACAAAAACCTATTCGAACTGTTAGGTAAGCTTAATATATTTAGGAAGGATATTAGAATAATCCAGAAGATATAATTTATAGATTATGAAAAATAGTTTGATAAAGTACATCACAAAGAACTATTCGAACTGTTAGGTAAGCTTAATATATTTAGGAAGGATATTAGAATAATCCAGAAGATATAATTTATAGATTATGGAGTTCTTCACATTTCGCAAGCATGGTGATATTCGAGGTACTTACAAGGAATTTTTTACATTTTTTTTAAAGAGATGAAAATATGTTTTTGGCTTGTTTATCGAGGTGAGCGCAAATGTAGACCCCCAACACTTAGAAATAGCACCTCCAAGTCGCCTATATTCGGAACGATCGCAAAGGTCAACCAAACCGGAGTGCAATGGAAGGGTGTCGCTCTGGGAGTATTTTGTGTGAATTTTAGTAACTATAAATTCTTTTTATTTTGGGGTGAATGAATTCTTAATATTTGGAGGTGAATTAGCAGAAAAGATCCGAACGTAAGAGATCACAGTCTATACATTCATACCAACGACATTTGTGTGAAAGGAAACGCAACAGCATGGAATTTAGCTACCGATTCCAGTTTCTGTGTTGACATCCTTTACACATCCCAGTAGAGACATTAGTATCAGCGATGATAACATTTATTGAATCTGAAAGCAAAGGAAATGTAAAAGATCAACTCGACATAATGAGATCAACAAATAACGACATATTTAACCCTAGGATGGCCGACGTGTCGTTTTCGACACCTTCAAATTTTCAACAAATTCCTATGGAATAACTAGTTTTGGTTCGATGCTGAGGCTTATGGACAATTATTGAATTTTAGCAAAGATGCTTAACAGACTTAATTCTTTAAAAAATATTCAGTGGAATAGCTGATATTTGAGGTTTTACCTTGAATGGCCGAGGTGTCGTTTTTTGACACCGAGGCTATTTATAGAGTAAATGCACAAAAAATTTCTCACAAGCAATAATACTTGTGTTTATGTCCCCTATCTATCTATTTATCTATCTATCTATACACACACATAAATTAATTATATATATATATATATATATATATATATATATATATATATACAAATATAGATAACTATACTCGTTTTGAAAAACCCTCGAATTTTTGATTTGCCAATAATCAAATCAATCTCGAGGGAAAAAAAGGTTTAAAAAAAAAGAAAGAGCTACAAACATGAAAGTCTGTCGAAAAAAAATCGCACAGATACAAGTTTGAAGACCAAAGAAAAAAAAAACCCATACAAGTAACAACTAACCAACTAACTAACAAAAGAGCTCAATACAACCGTAGAGCAGACCTAGATAAACCTAGTGAGCCAGACAAACCTACCTAGGTTTCACCTAAACGGATCGTCAGGAAAGTAAGACCTTACTTTCCTGACGATCCGTTTAGGTGAAACCTAAGGTAGGTTTGTCTGCTCACTCACTAGGTGTATCTATCTATCTATATATATATATATATATATATATATAATAATCTTTTCTTTCAGTATGAAGTATACTAATATTTGTGAATTTCTTTTTTCAGACTTGTTATTCCTGACTTGAATATTGAATATATTAAAGATGGCTACTTCACGGCGTAATGGAAATAAAGATGTCAAAGAAGCTGGCCATCCTAGTGTTAAAACATCGAAGATAAGCAACGTCGAACCTGGTCAGTACCTACATGGGTGACCACTTGGAAATACCAAGTGCTGTAAGCTTAGATGTTCTGTTGGTGTAACGTATAATGGCTCAGAATTGTTAATGAAAGAGTCGAGTTCCAATTCCAGTTGGGTTTGTTATATTCATTTATTCGTAAATACCATTGGGAAAGGTACGACTCCACTTCTTCTCCCTCACCTATGGGCTAATTAACAAGTCTTGTATCCCCAAACCATAATTAACTCTCCCCTCCCGATTCTTATATTTAAAAAAATATTTTCTGGCTTTAAATAAGAAAATAATTTTTTCAAATGTAAGAATTTGTTTTTTTGGTGGTAGGGGGGATTCAAATAATAATGTTTATGTACTGCACCGAAATTCTTTAAATAAATTTTGATTAGCGGTAGAAAACAATTCAAGAAATTAAAAACATTGATTTGCATATTAATTCAGTTCTTTGTTTTGTTGTTTTTTTATCACTTTGAGACCAAGCAAAGTGATAATACCTCTAAGATGCAAGGTGGCAGTGAAAGTGAATGTAAAAAACTAAAAAATATTATTTACATTATTCGGACTATTGTCCTCATCTTTGTCGCCATATCTATCACAACGTTTCGGCCGTTGTACGCTCCGGCCTTCTTCAGGTGGTTGGAATGTCGAACTGAACCCTTTATTTCGCTCATTGGGGTAGACTGTTCTAGTTCCACGTGCCATGTTTGATGGATGTCAGTTATCAGTTATCTCCTGCTAATTTCCCTCTGAAAGTTCTCCACTGCCTTAACCGGGTATTGAACTCACACTCTTTGTGTCCTGTCACTGGATCTAACCAACGCCTTTATCCACTGTGCCATGTGCCCTCAAGAAATTCCAACCACCTGAAGAAGGCCGGACCGTACAACGGCCGAAACGTTGTGATAAATATGGCGACAAAGATGAGGACAATAGTACGAATAATGTAAATAATGTACAGAATACCTTATCTCAGAAATATAGACAGACTCCGAAGAAACTGTTAGCCTAGAACTTACGCTTACATCAAGCCAGCTCAACTCTTACAAAATACACAAATATGTATTTTAAAAATTAAAGATTGTCAATTCATAATAATGTAATAAAAAATATAAGATAATAAACAGAGAAAAATATACGAATAATCAAGACTTCCCTTTTCAAAAACGACATTGCTTTCTTTGTGCGATAAAAAAAAAAAAAAACACACACACGTTTCCTCCGACATCTAATATAAATATTTTCCAGTCATTTAAAAAAGTAGTGGCGCCTGGCTCAAAGCAGTGCCCTCTTCATCTACCGGTACCCTTCTAGATGATGAGTGCACTAGGGTCGGAGTCGTGATCCGCCTTGGACTCAAATTATGTTAGCGTCACAGATGCGGATGTGGAGCTTCCATCGATGAGTTTGGTTTGCATCCTCTCTCCTGTCGTCGTAGTGCCGGCCGTTTTCCACGGCATGCAGCAATAAACGACATCAGAAGAGGTTTGGATGCAGCTGGGTTCCCTTCCCAAATCGAACCCGTAGGCCTCGACCGCGGTGATGGAAAGCGGCCGGGTGGCATTACCATTTTCCCTTTTAAAATGGGGAAGTCGATGATTTGGGATGCGACCTGTGCGGATACATTTTCGGTCGGTAATTTGATCAGATCCGCGGTTGAGTCGGGATCTGTCGCCTGGGACGCAGAGATGAAAAAAATAGTTAAATATTCTTCTTTTGCTGTAGATTTTTTATACTCCTGTAACAGTGGAGACTTCTGGGGTTATTGGCCCTCGTTCGATTGCGTTTCTTCGGGGGATTGGCGCGATGGCGTCTCGATTAAGGGATGAGCCTCGCGAAACGGAGTGGCTCTTGCAGCGTGTCTCACTGGCGATGGTGCGAGGTAATGCTTTCTCCATTATTGCTGCTGGCAGAGGATAGCAAAATAAATAAATAAATAAAAATTTTATAGTTACTTTGTTCAAACTTTGTAAAAACTTATTGCGTGAAAAAAGTAAGCTATATAGGACGCTTTAAAAAGAAAGTCACGTATTCGAATCACGTGACGTGACTTCATTCATTTTCACAGATTCTGTCCTTCAACGTAACATTTTTTGAACCATCCGTAACGCTGCGTTTATCTTTTGACTTATCATTTTATCGTTTGACTTTTCAAACGCATATGAAAACAACGAAGAGATAAAGCAAGTAATATTTAAAACTTCATCGCGGAT